TATATATATATATATATATATGAAGAGGTTTGATCGGTGGAAAATATACCTTGTCTTCCGTGTCTTGCCTTCTGTTGTTACAACATGAACTGGTTCATTCCTATGATTCTGATATCACATAGAAGGCACTGAAGCTGAAACTAAGTCGAATGTTAAATACCTTGGATTACATCTTCCCTGACCTTCCCAAATCATGTTACATTCTAGTAAGATATTTCGTCTAGTCTTCTATGTCATGAAGTTAAGACAGTCTGGTATCACTGTCTTTACTTTTGCAGTTTGTTAATTCTTGTATTCTACCTAAGCATTCTTCTTTATTGCTCCCCTTTAACCTTTCCTAAGCTACTTAAGAAAGACTTCTTTACACTGAGAAGGGTAATAAGAGCTGTCGGTAGGGTGAGTGGAATGTTGCTAAACCAACTCGTTGATACTGTTGTGGACAGAGAGTTGGACTCATGCAAGAAATTGGAGAATATCATCTTGTCGGACTCTGAGAATCCTCCTTATAAGCAACTACCCCTTTGCATCTCAACAAGTAGGACTAGAAGCAATTATAAACAGACATTGTGATCAGACGACTGAGGATACAAACTCAACGAGAGCTTATTTGGCACGCACCTTATGTGATGAGAAAAGTGTTAGGTATGGAACTAGTGACTTACTACGAAACAGTAAATAAACGTCTCTTTTAATTATTAATACACTGTTAACTGGTGGACGGTGACTAGCAGTGGAATCCACGACAACGTGCACTTCGTCCTGTTTGGGACTCATCATCTGGACGTACCTGCATTCCGCGGTGAGTGATGATGCTCCCACCGAGGCTCGAACCCAGTGTTCATAGTTTCAAACGCTAAAGCGTTATTCACTAGACCAGTTGGGCCACGGGAGCCACCTCTTATGCAACGGGTTATATTAATTATTTAACTTAATTTTAGATTTTCCCGTCGATTGATAACGCTTTGGCATTTGAAACTATGGCCACTGGGTTCGAGCCTCGGTGGGAAAATGATCACTCGCTGCGGAATGCAGGTACATCCAGGTGACGAGTTCCAAATAGGACGAGATGCGCGTTGTCCTGGATTCCACTGCCAGTCACCGTCCACCAATTAACTTCTAATTACATGCCTAGACATCGTCGAAGCATGTGCACAAGAAACCAACATGTCAACCTGAGACCGAGCACTTCGGTCCAATCAATCGACAGGAAAATCTAAAATTGAATTAAACAACTAATACACTGTGTTATCACTAATTCTACTTAATTTTAGTCTAACATTCATATTCCTACTGACATTATTATCAATATAAATAATTATTATTTATTTATTTCATCCTTACTATGCAATGTAAAGAGAAAAATCGATGCAATATTGTACTATTTGTTGAAAATTCAACATTGTATCGAAAGTACTGTTTAAGAAGAAGCTATCATTATTATTATTAACCATAGACAAAATATCATAACAGTCTGAAACCATTGGTTCTTAGCGTCTCGATGATCTCAACCAGTTAGCTTACTGCCTACCCCACACGATTGCTTAAAATATACAGTCAAAAACTTTGTGGAATGATGGCATGTTTTGCTTCTACCAGACATAACTCCTAATATCAACTTATATTACTCGAAGAGGAATGCAATGGCTTGACATGCGTAATATATGCTCTACCCATCTTAATCAATGTAATTTTACAAACCCACTGAGTGATTTTCCATCTTAACCGAGCACTATACGCCTCTTCTCAATATCTTTTCGGTGATTTCATTTTCAAAAGCTTTACAATCGCATTTAAATACATGAAACCTAAGCCAAAAAGAGAAGAATCCAGTTCAGCGCCGAAAACTCTGTATATGAATCTGAACTTCGTATCCAGCTCTTTAAAGATGACCTTCCCTGTAGCAACACTAAGAGTGACATTCTCCAGCCGCCCAGTACTTCTAAACAATGCAAAGGACAAACTACTGTATATGACCAATTCAATGTATATGTATCAGTTCACCTGCTGAGGAGGAGTTACGTACATAGGTCTTTGTATGCGCGTCCTTTCAAAACGTGTTAGAGAACATTACCCAGAATGGCTGCAAAGAGGAGGCACCCGTTCAATCAGAAGTGCCATTATTGAACATCTAATCTACACCTCCTACAGCATCTCAACTGATTCATTCAAAGTTACTTACAAAATAAAACGGAACCTACCAAAGGCAGTGAGTTTCCGACTTCTTTGTACTGTAGAAGCCCTCACAATATGTATCAAAAAGCCCGAGCTGTGTGTTCAAAAGGAACTAGTCCAACCTCTACAACTACCATGGCCCTAGTTCGGTATGATCCCTTACCCTCCGGTTTCTTGATTTTTTTCGTCCGCTGTGTATGTGATTCTTATTCTCTCCGTCTTCATTCAATTCATCCCATTTTTTCAGTTATAAGAACAGTTATTTTAAGTTTGTTTCCATGCTCTTCCTGCTCACATTTGTAATTCGTTTAAAATAACTATTTTACAATTATATTCTAATCCTGTGTAATCTATGTCTCTAAGCCTCTTGTAATTCACACTTCCTAACTTCCATTTCAAGTTGAAAATTATTATTATTATTCCAATTTGTTTCCATTCTCACTTTACTGACACCTGTAATTCATTCTAATCTTGTGTAATTTTTCTTTCTAAGCCTCTCGTAATCCATATCAAGTTGGAAAATAATTGTCACCTTTTATTCACCTTCGTAATTATGTGGAATTAAATAATAATTGTATCTATGTAAATTTATGTATTAAACTGCGACTGTACAGTTGCTCTTGAAAATGAAACCGCAGAAAATATATCTTTGCTGAACTTCGTGTTCTTTTCTTTCTAATGTCCTAATGGGTGGTATTTTCCACAGTCTTCTCAATATCACTCATATTACATCAATTGACTGAGAGATAGAACGAGAACATGTACTGTCATAGACGATTTTACAACTTTTAAATCATTAACTAAACTATAAAATGTAATGATGCATATTATTGCATGTGTGATTTGTTATATTATTTATTTATTATTCACTATGACCTAGAAATGGTGTATTTTGTTGGGGTTTTTTATTTTTCCTATTAACTATCAATATTTTTAAAATTTTATATATTTATATAAATATAAAAAGAGCTAAACCAATGCAATATGTAAAATGAAACGCTGAAAATTCCATGCTGTAAATTGTTATTGTTGTGGAATAAAGTGATTATTATTATTAACAACTTCACACCTCCCATGTTCAATAGCTAAGTCACACAGTCACAAAGTAGGGGAAAGCGAACTGCCTAACAGTGCACACATCCTTTGATCGATAGCAGGATATCACACACATTAGTCACTTCATGAAACTTTAACAGTTTACGAAACAAATTTTAACATACAGCCCTGTTTAGTGGATTTCACATTTCCAAATAGGAAATCTCCAATCACAAACTAGGAGAGATTACTTACCATACTACTGGAGCAGGTTTAACGCACACACACACACAAACACACAACTAGACTCATTCATATCAATAGGATTGATTACGAACCACTGGAAAACCAGCAAGGAGTACTGGAAAGCTGTTCCATCCCAGTTTTCGGCTCTCCAGAAGTACCCGCAAGCCAGAGTTCAAATCCAAGAGCTACTAGTTACAAGTACTAGTTTCGCATATGCCAGTTTACGCCATCTTTGGCTTAGTGGACGTGATATCTGGTTATTGACCAAAGGGCGGGTGTACTGTTCAGCACTCCACTCCGTCCTCCTTTATGGCTGTGAGACCTGGCCTTTCAAAGTAGAGGACATGAAAAGACTAGTTATCTTTAATCATAGGTGCCTGCGTTCTATCTCCCGTGTTAGATGGTATAATAGGGTGAGCAATATTGAGGTTAGACGTTGGCCGCTAGATAAAGAGGGGAGATCAATAGACACTGTGCGATTGAGATGGTTAAGACATGTGTTACGCATGCCTAGTCATCGCCTTCCTCGACAATGGGCAATGTTAGCTGACTTAGGGTCAGACCAGAAAAGAGCTAGCGGCGGTCAAATGAAAACATGGCATCAGTCAATGAAATCTACAACAGTTAGTTGAAGCCGTCTAGGAAAATGTAGACTTCCTGGTTGGGGTCCTCGGGACGGTAAAAACCAATGAAGGCTGAAGATAATTGGTGATATGGCTAAAAATCGTTCTCAATGCATGGTGTAGATGCACCCACTCCTTGTGACTTATAATACCCAATAAAACTATATTGTTCTTCCATATTACTATTTCTTTGTCTCACACCTCTGTTTAATGTCTCTATTATGCATTTATTTTACTTCCTTGTCTTGCTTTGTGTGCTACAAGGAGGGAGTGAGGCGACTCGAACTAGTGCACATCGGTGCAAAGTTCTATGTTGAAAACAGACAGACAGACAGGCGAGCTCGTCGATGACCGTTTAACCACTGGGACTCTACCCATCACCTGATAATTAGTCTGATGCTCACTAGTGACTGGCTCTATAGAGAAAGTCACCTAGAATTCCAATGAGAAGTCGTAATACGCAGTATCCACGAAGTTAGACAACAAGACAGTTACTCGCCTGTGACATTGACTGACGGTTGCATCAAATATCACAAATTGGCAGAAATTGAAATTCATAGACCACTGGTGAGTCGGATCCCAGTGGTTGAACTGTCTACGAGCAAGCCTTGTAACTGGAAGGTCCCCAAAGAGTCCCAAACTAGGACGTCGGAAACAGCTGACCAGTACTCTCTGAAATTTTATTTTCAGTGGTTCTCTAACTGATGTCAGCTAGCAATCAAACCTAAAACCAGTCAAATTCTCGGAAACCAAAAGCTGGCACTGTTCAACTTCACGGTTGACCGGGGTGGGGGACAGAGTCACACTGAAGTGATCCAGCGTTCAAAATAACGACTGAGGAACTTTTTATCAGTATACCTAGTTTCCATGCTTATTACTTTTATATTATAAAGAGAGAGACACAAGAAACAAGAACAACACAACTATGGAGAAAACTCAATGATTTAATAAAATAAAATAAAATTTAAATTAAATCATTATTATGACTAATAAGATAAAAACAGAAAAACAGAGAGAAAGAGATGGAAATTTAAAAAACAAAACAAAGCAAAAGACGATAAACTTGTTTCCTTTTCAATCGCCTGCAGGTATCTGTGTTTGTCTGTGTGTGTGCATTTATGGATTGGCGGCGTTAATTGTCTTTCATGAGACAGCAGGATGGGGATGGAGAAGGGGGCAAGGGAACAACAACACAACGTATTCCAGCATCGACAGACAGTACAATAAACAATAATTTACACTGAAGAAGACGAAGTCGAAGAAGACGAGAAATAAATAGAAGTGTTAACGCAAAACAATTAAACAAAACTGTTTACGACATAAACATACCCCCCACCTTAATAGACAGGTTGACTACAACACAGATTGCGCAATAAGGTAGGCAAAGTGACTGTATATGTATAACACAAGAATCATCACCATCAGTGTATTTCTGTATATTGTTTGTCTGTTGCATTTGTACTGTGTGTGAGTGTGTGTGTGTAAGCTCATCACCGTTGTCATCTATCGACTTTCAGAAGGAATACACACGAAAATAAAGACAATAAATCATCATAGACATGAAAGTCAAAATGTAGATAGATGGATAGGAACGGAAATACAAAAAATACATCACCACAATCAACAAACACCACCATACTTTCGCCTTCTTCTCTTTACACTAAAACCTGTCCTATTTTAACAAATTGTTCCACACTAAACAACATATAAATACAATGAAGATGCAAAGAGGAGAGAGAAAATAAGTCAATAAAGTTGAGCAGATAAATGTTTATATCTATTTGTATGAATATATATGTATGTGTGCATTATTCTTCTACGAGTAGTAACAGACAGCAGAAGGGATAATAATAATTCACAAACTCTTCACATCGAAAGCCTCTCTCCATCTAATTCTCGCTAACCATTCGCATTTCATGCATACCGCTAACACCACAACTAACTAGTGAGTAATCCAATAGCTAGCCAGGATTAACAAACAGAAAAATAAAACACGAAACCTAATTTTTATTCACAGAGAGAGAAGACAAAAAAGAAAAGAATGTGACGACCTACAACAACACAATACGACACAAGACAGCATGACAACAGATACAATACTACACACAATATGTAGAATGATAACAATAAATAATAATAGTGGTGATGCTGGTAGGTATTAGTACTTGTTGTTGTGGTTGTTGTTGCTACTGCTGTGATATAGACAAGAAGGAAAATGCATTCATGAGGCACTTGATGATGAAGCAGATGATACAGATCTGTAGTATTCAGGAGAGGAATGACCGTGTACAGCACTTTCAGTTAAAATCACAGTTGAGATATCTGATCCAGGTACATCATAACGTGCTTGAAGAAGAAGACTTTCCTAGAGAGAGAGGGAGAGAGAGAGAAAAGAAGTTTAAACGGTTAAAAAACAATTTTGAGCAAATTTAAACTACCATAGCTTAACCCCAATGACTGTGAATAACCAATCAGAATTCAGGTGCAAAAAAGTCCCAAAATTGTTGAAAAATACACTAAAAAACTATCTGCAAACATGATATTACACTGTATAGTTATGGTTTATGTGTTGTAAGAATGTCTCCCAGTCACTACACAGATGATCTATAGAGAAATCGTACTATGCACGATATATCCATTCATCCAGGTGATTGTAGATATTGATAGGATTCCTCAATCTACTCCTAACTCTAACTCGTAATCCCAACTTTAACCCTAAACCTTAATCTGAAAAGCCATAACCCTACCTGACAGTATAGATTTAGCGAGAAAAAGTACCTAGTAAATAAGCAGAATACTGTATATACTATCTCCAAGTTCAAAAGGGCAGATATCATTTGATTTGGAATGACATTTCATAACATTCCTAAAATCTAATCGGTTCTTGAAAGACCTTGAACTTTGGCTACGATGAAATCTTAACTTCAACTAATCTTGTTTTATTTTTAATAAGATGTGATTGTTAAAATTAATGACAAGTATAGAAATAAACAAGAGAGAGCTAGAATACTAAAATTATTAAAATAATAGATAGGAATAATGCACCTATTTATAAAATAAAATACATTTCAGTTCAGTATAACTGGTATAAACTTTTCTTCATTCGATTGGTTACAGGATTTCATTATGAGCTGATATCAGTTAGAGAACCATTGGAAAACCTGCAGGGAGTACTGCCAGACAGCTATTTCACCAGACTAGTTTGGCACTCTTCAGCGGTACGCACCCACTACCAGGGTTCAAACGCAGGACCTTCTGGTTACAAGGCTAGCGAGCTCGTAGACTATCAAAGCCACTGGGACCCTCAACCCAATGACCAACCCATGAATTCTAACTTCTGCCAATCCAAGGGTCATAGGATCGGGTCCCAGTAGCTTAGTGGTCTACGAGCTCGCATTGTAACCAGAAGGTTCGGGATTTGAACCCCAGTGCATGCGTACTGATGAAGAGTCCCAAACTAGGCTGACGAATTAGCTGTCCAGTACTCCCAGGTGGTTTCCCAGTGGTTTCCTAACCGATGTCAGCTCATGATGAAATCCTGTGACTATTCAATCAAATCCCTATAAACCAATACTTGAAAATATTCTCCATTTCTTATTGCTTTAATTATCTAATTATGTTTTTGAGTTGGTATTATGAAATCAAGTACATTTTTAGTTTGTTGTCAACGCAATACATAGCACTTCTCATCAAACGAAATGAGAACAAAATATATCGTAGACAACTGGATATTGCTTCAGATGGAACAACACAGCAGTCGTCACACAATGCACTGTCGAATACTATTTTCCTGGAGGACTCTGTACGAAGAATAGATATTTTGCAATTTATACATACTGAAAATTCTGTTGTTGTTTACTAATTCCTTAACATTCCCAGCGGAATAAAGTCCTTTACGAGATGGAGTTGTTAGCTGCCTCATGTCCAACTTTCCCTCCTTACCAGTCTTATTACTGGCTTAGCGAGGTGAAGTAAAGGAGTGCGTCTGCTGGGGAACGAACCCCGAACCACATGAGGCGTGGTTGGCCAGCATTCTACCGCTGTGCCACCGACGCCCAGAGTGGGTATGATACTGGTTTATGGTGTACCGTCTAATTTTAATACACAATATGCCTCTCCAGAACCCAACAACAACACTATAACCAACTGATCACTTGAAATTGCATCTCCTACAGTGAGGTAAATACGAAAGTCACACAATGACAGGAACGACAACAACAACAACAATAATAAAACCCCAGGAATTTAAGTCATAAACAAAACAAATCAAAACTGTTCATTCAGGTTGTTATGTAAGTGTGTATGCATAAATCATGATGTCCAGGCTAACATAGAAGCTTGTCCATCTTAAAGTGCTCTCCAAAATAGAGATGTTATTATTAATTTTGTTACATTATTTATTTGATTATGAACACAATGATACAGTGTTACTTACTGAAAACGCTTCGAGAACAACTTACTTCTCATTATAGTTTCAAGGCGTTTATATAACTTTCAAACTTCGTTTATATAATTACATTATTTCTAACCTTTTGATTCTTATTGAAACCGATATTTTCTGTATCTCTCGGATATCACAGCATTGCGTTACTCCTCTTGCACGTATTACGTGCAAATGCGATGAACAAAGACTCAGTGATCAATCTCTCCTTTCACCTACCTACGTATGTTACTTCTTAGAATTATAGCTTTGTTCCAACCAGACAGAAGGGTGTTAGTTAGGCGGTGTAATATATGATTAGTAATATTAAAGCTAGACGTAGAATGTCAGGTAGAGAGGGGGTCAGTCTATTAAATTGTGAAGCCATAAGCCATTGACTTTACTGACGATCAAAACAGAATAACAAGTACATTGAGGTTTTAATTACACACACGCCGAGATGCAGATCCATTGATGACTAGGATCCTTGAGAAGCTACAAAACTAATGGCTGCAGAGAGTTGGCGATATGGCTTAAAAAGGTTCTCAGTCTTTGTATTCTCTCAGACTCACTAAACTCTCATTAATTACCCTTTTAACAGAGAAGAAACATATTTCCAGGATGATACAAGCTCATTTTATTTACTGGATTCTTCTCAACCAAATACATCCTAAACAATTTCAAATTATATGTTACAAAATGCCTGAATATACTTTTTTCACAGTAGCGTCATCGTCGAATTATGCATAGAAAGTATAAGCGTAATATAATTCCAAAAATGATTTGAGTAGATAAATTAGTCAGTGTTAATAATGGCTGACTATTTGTAGTATAATTAGACAAGTACCGGGTTAAAGCTCAGATTTTGTTCTCGAACAAGAATACAAGATCGAACAACAGAGTGAATTTATACTTATTATAATGGAGAGTACAAGAGGGTGAGAGTGAATAATAAGGGTAAAATTATGACAAAGACAAACAATCAAGTTAATGTAGAAACTTAATAGTGAGTTCAGATCATTGAAAGTGAAAATTAAACTAAGTGAAAAGTTACTTGAAAGAACTAGAAACACAAAAATATTTTCAAGAGTTGATTTTTAAGGATTTGATTTGCTTTTTGGAGTTTGCCTACGGATTGATATAGTAAGCGAATCATTAAAAACTAACAAGGAGTAACTGCCAGACAGCTGTTTCATCCTAGTTTTGGAATCATCGGCAGTACTCACCCACCTCCAGAGTTCGAAACCAAAACCTTCCGGTTATAAGGTAAGCTCGTTGACGACTTTTCAACCACTGGGACCCGCCGACTCAATGGACAGCCCATGAATTCTAAATTCTATCAATTCGTAATGAGTTTAGCGCCAGCACGAAAAAATATTTCCCTTAATTAGCTTTTGATTTTCACTTTCACTGAGTTGAGCTTACAATTTTACTTTTATTGCTGACTCTCATCCTCTTGTACTCTCCATTATAATATGTATAAATCTTCGTATTCTTTCTCTAGTTGATCCTTATTTCAAAAAAAATCTGAGCTTTATCCAGCACTTGTCTAATTATACTATAAATAGCTAGCCCTTTTAACACCAAATAATTCAGCTACTTATATGATCTTTGGAATTATCTCGCTTATACTTTCTATGCATAACTCGATGACAACGTTGCTGTGATAAGAAGTATATTCAGGCCTTTTGCCACTTATAATTTGAAATTGTTTAAGATGTATTTGATTGAGAAGAATTTACACAATTAAGATGAGCTTGTATTATCCTGTAAAAATATGCTCGTTTATTCTTTGCTCAGATTAATCAAGGGAGATAGTTGAATGACATTATTCTTTCTCCTGTGATTTTTTCCGTGTTTCTCATGCCTGTAAATTAATGTTAGTTAAATACTGCTTAAGCCAACGAACTATATACATATATGTGCTATAAAAATTAATTCACACAATCAACACACCTTTTTACTCAATCATGTACAAGTTGACATTACAATTAATAAAAATACAATACATGCAAGCATAAAGATCATATTGACAAATACAACTATAAAAGAAATATGAACATTTAAGGACAAGTTGTTATAGAAAAGTCTGAAGATTGAATGACCTCACTAGAAGATACTTTACCCTTACGAAATACGAAAGAATATACACCATAGAGAGAAGTTAAAATAAGTCAATAAAAAAACACAGTTCACGATCAATAACACAATACAATATAATATTTAAAAATTCACTTATGATAAAAAAAGGAAAAAGGTTTTCCTTGGTTTTCAATGCTTCTCTAACTGATATCAATCTGTGATATAACCTAAAACAAACTGAATCCCTACAAAAACTAATTCTTGAAAATTAATTTGATGCTCGCTAGTGACTGTCTACAGGACAAAGTTGCCTCCTGTTTTAGTGAGAAGTCCTAGCCAGTAAGATCTATCTAGTCAAGTGTGAGGATGGAGTTCCAACCGGTGACACTGGTTGGTGGTTGATAGGATCCCACACACGTTGTTATTGTTCAATTATTTTAACAACTTTTAATCTCGCATAAGTTGTATATCATCAATTTCCACACACTTTGTTATTGTTCAATTATCTTAATGACTGTTAATCTCGCATAAGTGGTATATCATCATTCCCACGCATTTTTGTTATTGACTATTACGACCAATTATTTCAAATACTGTTAGCTGTCTCTATTGGTTGTAAAATTGTATAAATACCATTTCCTAAATAAGTTTATTTGTCGTCGTCGTCGTCGTAGTTTGTCGTAGTTGTTGTACTACAATACACAGTCACAGACCAGACTTTGTCTTTTGATATTTGCGTGGTTCGCTGAATCGGAAGGTACCAGAAGCAGATAGGCATATTAGTCAGGCGCAGACAGAACAAGGCGACAACGTCCTCATCATTAATTCCCCTACGGTTACAACAGTGGTCGCGCTAAATGCAT